ACAAGAGTGATTAATATAAGTTTAAATAACTTGTTTCATAATTGTTGTAAAATAAATAAAGTTTATATTTATTTATAGCTACGTGTGACAGATGATCATTAATGGTGTAAAGGATATTTATCGAATATAAAAGGTGTTTCCCATCACATGTGATTATAATTATGTAATATAATAAATGTTTACTAGTATGTTATTAGTGACGATAAAAGCTGGCGCGGAGTACCACCTCGTGGACTTGTACGGTATCAAATGTACGGGCAAGCCTACTGATATATTCAGTAATACATAGAAATGGGTTCATTTAAGGTCAAGGATGTTTTTATTGCAACACCATTGTGTTAACATACAGACGAACTGGTAACCTCGTTGAAATAAAAAATGCAGCAAAAATTGCAGACTTCTCCGGTATGAATCAAAATACCGGAGTGACTAAATTGATGGATAGAAAAATAAAAATGCTGAATTACAGCATTGACTATCATAATACATAAAGTGCTCGAAGGAAGGCAGGAACCCATTGTACATGTACTTAACATATGTATTATTCACGCCATTTCAGATGAAGATTTTTACTTTTATGAACGCTGTCCTGTTAATGAATCGGTGAATATTATGACTTTCTAACAATATCTAACGACCAATATATCATGTTCGTTCGGTAATTTATGTCAGATTTTACCCGGGTAATTTCATATTATTCTAGGTAGCGACAATCGACCAGACATCCGAAGTTTTCCGTTAACGAGCGAAGTTTTCCTAGAAATAATTTTGAGATGCAAGCGTATCAATGTGCACATCCTATATTTGATGCATGTGATATCGCTCCCATACTGCAGAGAACAGAGTCCTTTTTAAACATGCAGGAATTCTTATAAATGCACAAAGTTTTCGTTATGTAGCAGCATTATCAACAAGTTGTTTAATAAAACTACATCTTAAAACGACCCTTAAATTCAAAGGACACGCTTAAGATATAAGATAACAGTTGTGGAGAATATTAAAGAGACATGTTACACATGTAAACACAAGATCTTTTACTTCCATCCACGCAGATTCGAATTTGAAGAACCCTGTCCCCTGAAACAATACACGTCCCCTAAAACACCCAAGTCCTCTGAAACAATACACGCCCCTTAAACACCCAAATCCTCTGAAACAATAACGCCCCCTAAAACACCCAAGTCCTCTGAAACAATACATGTCCCCTAAAACACCCAAGTCCTCTGAAACAATACATGTCCTCTAAAACACCCAAATCCTCTGAAACAATACACGCCCCTAAAACACCCAAGTCCTCTGAAGCAATACATGTCCCCTAAAACACCCAAGTCCTCTGAAACAATACATGTCCTCTAAAACACCCAAATCCTCTGAAACAATACACGCCCCTAAAACACCCAAGTTCTGTGAAACAATACATGCCGCATACAGCAATCAAGTTATTGAAACCACACATGATCTAAGTTCCTATTACGAACCTCAAACCAGGTGATATTTCCAGAATGCTTCCGTACTGACAGGAAACTGTTAGTGAGCGATAAATAGCATTCCTAGAAACTATCATATATTTGAAAATATTTTGTTTCATTATCGATTTTTTTTTTCAACATCGTGTCTCGTTTATACCGATATCACGCGGGGTGTAGTCACGAGTCGGTGCAAGTATTATTCATGTATTGGACGGGATAAGATCATTCCTGGAAACTTACAGCATACACTTCAGTCGTCTTCGCTGTATGTTTGTATTAGTGCAACAAACTTTGTATAAAGGGAAGCAACCTCGTGTTTGACAGAGTCGGAAGGTCCGGGCTGACTAGTTAATAGAACATTGGTTATACAATATATAGCTGTCTTGGTGCTATTTTTTTTATAAGATGTCTGTCTATCTGTTTTTGCCGTGTGATAACCCTCTTTAGTGTGTGTATGTGTGTGAGAGGTTGTTCGTCCACTTGTTCCTATATCTGGTGGAAGTCCAGTCTCTCCCTATTTGTGTGTGCGAGATTCTAGAGAATGAGTCCCTATCGTATGGTATACACTTCTTGATGTTCCTGTAAGGCGGTCTGTCAGTTCGTCTCAATATTGAGCACCAATATGCAGTAGCCAATGGCGTATGCAACAGTATGAAATGTTATTTTTCATCTTAAAACCAGATGTTAGAGACAGAAAGAGACATAGCTGAAAAAAAGTTAGAACAGAAATAGCGTGTGCGTAATAGTAATCTCGGCGAGATATGGTCCAAATACAGCTATCAGTAAATATTAAATAAAAAACAACGGTTCACATAAAAATATTTGAGGGGTTTTTTCAACGAAGTTACTTATGGTTTTTCCCTACCTTAAACAGACCGTTACACAGCAACAAAACAAAACAGAAAAGATTCAAAAGATTTATGATAAAAAAACAAACCAAACAAAAACAAAGCAAACAAACAAATCAAAAGCCAAAAAAACAAAACATATATCATATATTGAACAGAAATTTATTTCGTTTCCATATCATACGATGAAGCTATGAAGCTTTGCGTTCCTAGTTTCCGGTAATATTGATAGTCGGAAACAACCGGAATGACGTCACACTGGGACTGGTCGTTCGTGTACATGATCTGTGTTTTTTAATGTCTTATTTACATACTTGGAGTAATTCTACGTTGGTAAGAACTGGCGGTTGATATTTCCGAGGTTAGACATTCAGGAAACGTGTTACGTGTTATATCCTCGAATTTCAAGGATCGGATTCCAAGGGTCGGTTTACATGTATACAATGCTTTTAAGGTGATACTATTTACTGCGCCCTCATGAAGGTGATACCATTTACTGCGTCCTCATGAAGGTGATAACATTTACTGCGTCCTCATGAAGGTGATACCATTTACTGTGTCCTCATGAAGGTGATACCATTTACTGCGTCCTCATGAAGGTGATAACATTTACTGCGTCCTCATTGAGGTGATAACATTTACTGCGTCCTCATGGAGGTGATAACATTTACTCCGTCCTCATGGAGGTGATAACATTTACTGCGTTCTCATGAAGGTGATAACATTTACTGCGTCATCATGAAAGTGATACCATTTACTGCGTCCTCATGAAGGTGATAACATTTACTGCGTCCTCATGAAGGTGATAGCAATTACTGCGTCCTCATGAAGGTGATACCATTTACTGCGTCCTCATGAAGGTGATTACATTTACTGCGTCCTCATGAAGATGATACCATTTACTTTGTCCTCATGAAGGTGATAACATTTACTGCGTCCTCATGAGTGTGATACATTTACTGCGTCCTCATGAAGGTGATACCATTTACTGCGTCCTCATGAAAACGATCCCATTTACTGCGTCCTCATGAAGATGATACCATTTACTTTGTCCTCATGAAGGTGATACCATTTACTGCGTCCTCATGAAAACGATACCATTTACTGCGTCCTCATGAAGATGATACCATTTACTTTGTCCTCATGAAGGTGATAACATTTACTGCGTCCTCATGAAGGTGATAGCATTTACTGCGTCTTCATGAAGGGGATAGCATTTACTGCGTCTTCATGAAGGGGATAGCATTTACTGCGTCTTCATGAAGGGGATAGCATTTACTGCGTCCTCACGAAGGTGATAACATTTTCTGCGTCCTCATGAAGATGATACCATTTCCCTTGTCCTCATTAAGGTGATAACATTTAGTGCGTCCTCATGAAAACGATCCCATTTACTGCGTCCTCATGGAGGTGATACCATTTACTGTGTCCTCATGAGGGTGATAACATTTACGGCGTCCTCATGAGGTGATACCATTAGCTGCGTCCTCATGAACGTGATACTATTTACTGCGCCCTCATGAAAGTGATAACATTTACTGCGCCCTCACGAAGGTGATAACATTTAGTGCGTCCTCATGAAAACGATACCATTTATTGCGTCCTCATGAAGGTGGTACCATTTACTGCGTTCTCATGAAGATGATACCATTTACTTCGTCCTCATGAAGGTGCTAACATTTACTGCGTCCTCATGAAGGTGATACCATTTACTGCGTCCTCATGAAGGTGATAGCATTTACTGCGTCCTCATGAAGGTGATAAGATTTACTGCGTCCTCATGAAAGTGATACCATTTACTGCGTTCTCATGAAGGTGATAACATTTACTGCGTCCTCATGAAGGTGATAACATTAACTGCGTCCTCATGAAGGTGATAACATTTACTGCGTCCTAATGAATGTGATATCATTAACTGCGTCCTCATGAAGGTGATACCATTTACTGCGTCCTCATGAAGGTGATACCATTTACTGCGTCCTCATGAAGGTGATACTATTTACAGCGCCCTCATGAAGGTGATACCATTTACTGCGTCCTCATGAAGGTGATACCATTTACTGCGTCCTCATGAAGGTGATACCATTTACTGTGTCCTCATAAGGGTGATAACATTTACTGCGTCCTCATGAAGGTGATACCATTTACTGCGTCCTCATGAAGGTGATACCATTTACTGTGTCCTCATGAGGGTGATAACATTTACTGCGCCCTACTCACTAAAGTGTTTGAGTTTGGAGATATGTATGCATCTACTTTATCTCAAACAAACTTTACATTATTGTTGCATTAAGTTATACATATATTTTTTCCCTTTAATTCTTTATTCATGAAACAACATATCCAAGCCTTTTAAGATTTCAATAGAAAGTTTTGACTAGTAATTAATATACAAGATGACATTATTGTACTTACTTAAAGCTAAGCTTGTTTGACATTTTTCATGTTTAAAGAGTACACATGTACCTATCCCCAGAAACAACATCACCAGCCGTAGTAGCCAGCGTGACAGATCACACAGTAAATCAAGAACCACCTTGTTTACCATGACATTTTCTACAGAATTTAATCACCAATGTCAACAAAATGTTCAGGTAAATTGCAGACAATGTCCATACAGTCATCTGCGTGTTGTGACCAGGGTGTATTGGTCATTGACATTTCAACAAAATTCATTGATACACTTTGGGATTGGATAACGGATTTGGTCCTTATTAATGCTCTCTTGAGTAATGCATATTGACAATCTGTCTCTAGAGTAGACACATTTAATTTACAATTGTTATTGTGACTAGTTAAATATTCCTGAGGCGAAATTTCGATCGGAACTGTCCGGAACAAAAACACGTAGTCGGTCAGGAGAGATAGAGAGTCGGACTACACAGTCACAGTATAACTCGTAGCTGGCATCTCCATGTTCCACTCCAACGATCTGTTAAAACAATGGAGAATGGTTCATCGACGGAATAACACCACTACTTCATTGTAAGCAGAAGGCAGGTTGTGCATGTGATTCTTTATTATCGGAGGGTTTAATGACATTCTTAATGTCTTATTCATGATTCGACAATGCCCGGAAAACTGACTTATTTGATATGTGTAGTCTGGATAGCTGGGAGAAATGTGACCTCCGTAATGCTCCCAGAAACGCAAAGGTTATACAAACAGCTATTCCGGAACTACACAGTGGAACTTAGGCCAGTTTTGAACCAGAGCAAACCAGTGGAGGTCCGCGTTTCCATGGGGATAATGTCTATCAACGACTTCGATGAACTGTCAGGCACCATAACACTGACGGTGATCTTTAATTCCGTCTGGAAAGAAGAAAGGTTTACTTGGAATCCCGACCATTGCGGCGGTCTGAAATCGCTGACGCTCCCACAGGAATCTGTGTGGTTACCGGAAATGGTTCTCACCACGGCAGCAGACGACACTGTACACATCTCAACCAAGGGCAATTTTAAAGTACGCGTGGACTTTACCGGCCTTGTGAACTGGTGGAGGATTGGGATTATCAAGTCAGCATGTGTGGCGGATGTGACGTATTTTCCGTACGATTTTCAAAAGTGCCACATTATCCTTTCTCCGTTTGGATATCAGACGGAAGAGATCAGCATAGTAGCTACGCGGGACACTATTTCATTTGACCATTTCTCTAACAACGGTCAGTGGAAGGTAAAATCGTCTTCAGTTAAGGTCAATTCCCTACCGATGACAAAAGACAATTTCGAAGACAGTGTAGGGTTTGCCAACTTTACTTTAGAAATCGAGAGAAAGCCATTATACTTTGTCGTGTCAGTGATCATCCCCATAGCGCTTCTGGCCCTGCTTAATCCATGTGTGTTTGCCCTCCCCATAGAGTCTGGTGAACGCGTGTCCTTCGCTATAACCGTACTGTTGTCATTTGCAGTTTTTGAATCCATGGTCAGCGCCTACATGCCCCAGGGGTCGGACCCAATGTCACTGCTCTCTGTGTTCCTGGTTATTACGTTGATGAACAGCACACTAATCACCATAACAACCATTTTGCTTCACGCTATGTACCACAAGGATGAAACCGATGCTGTACCGGAAGTGTTAGTTCAGGTCCACCTTTTTATCCGGCAACGTACACTTCCGCGGAAAATCACTCCAATGTACCCAGGAACCGGAAGCAAAGAGACCATATCCGAATTATCTGATTCGGATAGTAAGTCACAATACGAACACAAGGAAAGATCAGAATCTAAATTGCCTGTCAGTATCAACGATGTGGACACCGACACCAGGTCAGTTCCCGAAGAATCCATTGTAAATTGGCGCCAAATTACGGAAACATTTGATCGTGTATTCCTCATAGCGTTTCTATTGTTCAATTTTCTCTTCTGTTTGGTGTTTTTTCTGTATATATCTTAGTTGTGATTTTTTTGAAATCATCAGATGATTTTTAAAAAGGCGAAGCAAGACTTTCTGGTGAACTATAACAAAAACTGTACTATTTGCAATATACCAAGTGTTTTGTGAGAACTAAGCCGCCTAATAAAATTTCATGTTTTCTTCACATTTAGTCGCTTATTAAAATGTTCACTCTATCTTGGCTTAAGTTACGCTCACGTTCCGTGCAGAGAACGCACGTGAGCGTCACCCCTGTCGAGGATGGTCCTTTGACGACAGGTTTGAGATTATTGACAGCGTTTGAAACTCTGGTATGTTAGTACTGTATGTTGTGCCACTCGAAGGTCGACTTCTTTAATCAGGTTTGTGGACGTATATCAATAATAACCCTGTCAAGATGTACTGTTTTTAATTGAGTTTTATTGGCATCCCCCCCCCCCCCCACCTCCGACACACACACACACACCCACCCCCACATACAATCTCACTCGCACGCACAGGTAACAAGTAATCCCAATACATCAAAACATATGGTATGCGTGATGTTAAAAACGACAAAATTCTGGGAATTAATATGTCCTACCCCTCATTCCCCTGGCAGGGGTCTTGATATCCCGAGGACGGCGACTACTCTGAGAGTCAGTTTTGATATCCCGAGGACGGGGATTACTCTGATTGTCAGTTTTGATATCCCAAGGATGGGGATTACTTTGAGAGTCAGGTTTGATATCCCGAGGACGGCGATTACTCTGAGTGTCAGTTTTGCTATCCCGAGGACGGGGATTACTCTGATTGTCAGTTTTGATATCCCAAGGATGGGGATTACTCTGAGAGTCAGGTTTGATATTCCGAGGACGGCGATTACTCTGAGTGTCAGTTTTGATATTCCGAGGACGGGGATTTCTCTGAGTGTCAGTTTTGATATCCCGAGGACGGGGATTACTTTGAGAGTCGGTTTTGATATCCCGAGGACGGGGATTACTCTGAGAGTCGGTTTTGATATCCCGAGGACGGGGATTACTCTGAGAGTCGGTTTTGATATCCCGAGGACGGGGATTACTTTGAGAGTCGGTTTTGATATCCCGAGGACGGGGATTACTCTGAGAGTCGGTTTTGATATCCCGAGGACGGGGATTACTCTGAGAGTCGGTTTTGATATCCCGAGGACGGGGATTACTCTGAGAGTCGGTTTTGATATCCCGAGGACGGGGATTACTCTGAGAGTCGGTTTTGATATCCCGAGGACGGGGATTACTCTGAGAGTCGGTTTTGATATCCCGAGGACGGGGATTACTCTGAGAGTCGGTTTTGATATCCCGAGGACGGGGATTACTCTGAGAGTCGGTTTTGATATCCCGAGGACGGGGATTACTCTGAGAGTCGGTTTTGATATCCCGAGGACGGGGATTACTCTGAGAGTCGGTTTTGATATCCCGAGGACGGGGATTACTCTGAGAGTCGGTTTTGATATCCCGAGGACGGGGATTACTCTGAGAGTCGGTTTTGATATCCCGAGGACGGGGATTACTCGAACAGTCGGTTTTGATATCCCGAGGACGGGGATTACTCGAACAGTCGGTCTTGATATCCCGAGGACTGGGATTTTTTTGAGAGTAAGTTTTGATATCCCGAGGACGGGGATTACTTTGAGAGTAAGTTTTGATATCCCGGGGACGGGGATTACTTTGAGAGTAAGTTTTGATATCCCGGGGACGGGGATTACTCAGAGAGTCAGTTTTGATATCCCGGGGACGTGGATTACTCGTATACTGCTTCTTATTTCTGTTGATAGTATAAAACAGTTTCCTGATACATGCTAGTGTCTGAAAACTCAGCCATCACCAGCAGTCAGTCGTATCTATAAGAACTAACACAAGGAAGATAGTAAGACAGACTAATGCACAGGGGATAGTCATTATATATACCGTTTATTATACACACGTAGAAACATTGTTTAGACATTAACAACATTTAACCTTCTATTTCCACACGATAGTTCCATTTTTCCAAATTTAAATGTCCAATGAAATGCGTTGTTACATTACAAAGTAACTAGAATGTAAGTTCATGGCATATTCTCGATGAAAAACGCGTGACTAAGGCTCCCTTGTTGACATGGTTACCTAGTCTTATGGTAAACTGATAGATAAATAAGTGATGTGTCGTTGCAAATTGCACATACAAATGTTGCTTTATCTTTTACATAAACCACACAACATATTGAACTACTTGATATTCATAAAAAATACAGTTCCTTTGTAATTCTAAAGAAGCGAAAAACATAGACTTGTGTATAATATTGAAGTTCTATTTGACGACAAACACATACGTTCGGGTACATTAGGATAAGTTTGCATTATATAGCTGGTGCATTTTAATTTAAGGACACTACCAGAATTGTTACATGGACGATACACCTTACTGTAGAGGCACAGCGCCAGATTGATTACATCCCTGGTGATAAAATGATAATACAGGTTATATATGCAGATGTTTCTTTTTGTGATGATTTATGTCATCCCGGGCTATGTCGTTTTATTCTACATACAGTGATTATAATCAAACCTTTACCCACTCAGTTGCTGGCTATTGAATTACAGGTGGGTACAGGTATATCGTACAGGTAACATGATAATAGCTGTAAAAATAAACGCTCGGATTACCCCCCTTCATCCGTGTGTCACAAGGTCTTGTGTCCACAATCTCTTACATATATATACTGACTAAGGGCAGATAACCATAATACGACTCGTACCTGAAACAGGTTATCCGCGAAACGTTAACGTGATTATCAGTGGAGAGGTCTTGTGGTTTTCAATAAAGCAAGTGTGTGGTTATCAGTAGAGCGGTAATGTTGGTATCAATGAAGAGGTTATGTTGGTTAGTGAAAAAGGTTATGTGGTTATCAAAGAGCGGTTATGTTGGTATCAGAGAAGCGGTTATTTTGGTATCAGTGGAGCGGTGAAGTGTGTATTAGTGAAAAGGTTATGTGGTTATCAAAGAGCGGTTATATTGGTATCAGAGAAGCAGTTATGTTGGTATCAGTAGAGCGGTGAAGTAAGTATAAGTGAAAGGGGTATGTGGTTATCAATGAGCGGTTATGTTGGTATCAGTTAAGCGGTTATGTTGGTATCAGAGAAGCGGTTATTTTGGTATCAGTGAAGAAGTTATGTTGGTATCAGAGAAGCGGTTGTTTTGGTATCAGTGAAGAGGTTATGTTGGTATCAGAGAAGCGGTTATGTTGGTATCAGAGAATTGGTATCAGAGAAGCGGTTATTTTGGTATCAGAGAAGCGGTTATTTTGGTATCAGAGAAGCGGTTATTTTGGTATCAGAGAAACGGTTATTTTGGTATCAGAGAAGCGGTTATGTTGGTATCAGAGAAGCGGTTATGTTGGTATCAGTGAAGAGGTTATGTTGGTATAAGAGAAGCGGTTATTTTGGTATCAGAGAAGCGGTTATTTTGGTATCAGTGAAGAGGTTATGTTGGTATTAGAGAAGCGGTTATTTTGGTATCAGAGAAGCGGTTATTTTGGTATCAGTGAAGAGTTATGTTGGTTTCAGAGAAGCGGTTATTTTGGTATCAGTGAGGAAAGTTATGTTGATATCAGAGAAGCGGTTATTTTGGTGTCAGTGAAGATTTTATGTTGGTTTCAGAGAAGCGGTTATTTTGGTATCAGTGAAGAGGTTATGTTGGTACATTGTATCAGAGAAGCGGTTATTTTGGTATCAGTGAGGAGGTTATGTTGATATCAGAGAAGCGGTTATTTTGGTATCAGTGAAGAGGTTATGTTGGTATCAGAAAGCGGTTATTTTGGTATCAGTAGAGTGGTGAAGTGTGTATTAGTGAAAAGCTTATGTGGTTATCAAAGATCGGTTATGTTGGTATCAGAGAAGCGGTTATTTTGGTATCAGTGAAGAGGTTATGTTGGTATCAGAAAGCGGTTATTTTGGTATCAGTGGAGCGGTAAGGTGTGCATTAGTGAAAGGGTTATGTGGTTATCAAAGAGCGGTTATGTTGGTATCAGAGAAGCGGTTATTTTGGTATCAGTGGAGCGGTGAAGTGTGTACTAGTGAAAAGGTTATTTGGTTTAACTTGTCGGAGGACACCCCTCCCTACAGGTGGGGGATCGGGAAAAGAATACACCTGCCGTAACCCACTACATGTATCGTAGGAAACGACTAATGCGGGAACCCCCTGCAGAATGGAGAATTTGCTTTGGTGTTCTCTATTTGGGGACACAAAAGCGACCAAAATAAATCTGCTGCAACCTGTAATATTTGGGATCTTTATCTTTCTTTCTACTTCTAACTACCTTCTATTTCCCAGCACCTTGCTTGGCAACACCTCACTTTTGGCTTTAATGTTGAGCGTTCGCCAAGATGAGGAAGTCATAGGTTCTGTCACCAGGACCGGACATACCAAAATCCTTAAAATGGTACAGTTGTTATTTCCTGCTTAACATTCAGCATTTAGGGGAATGACAACTGGTTCACCCGTTGTCAGTATAATGTGACTGGGCGGAATTCTGTGCTTGGTGCCTTCGACAAGGTATTTCAGTGAGATAGTATAATAAAGTCGGCATCAGATCCGCGCTATCACAAGGAGGCAAGCACACCAACATACCCTGTCTCCTGCATACACACACGCATGCACGCATAAAATAAAAACATGGAGACACGTCTTTAAACGACATTAGCTGTTAATAGGACGTTAAACAAAATTAAACCAAACCAAACTAGTTATCGGAGGAGCTGTCATGTTAGTATCAGAGAATCGGTTATGTGGTCATCAAAGGAGTAGTTATTTGGTTATCAGCGGAGAGGTTGTGTTGTTATCAGAGAGAGGGTTATGTTGTTATCAGAGAAATTGTTATGTTTTTTATCAGAGAAAAAGTTATGTTGTTATTAGAGGAGGGGTTATGTTTTTTATCAGAGCAAGCATATATGTGGTTATCAAAGGAGTGGTTATTTGGTTATCGGTGGAGAGGTTATGTTGTTATCAGAGGAAATGTTGTGTTGTTATCAGAGGAGGGGCTATGTTGGCATTAGATGAAATGTTATGTTGTTATTAGAGGAAGGGTTATGTTGTTATTAGAGGATGGGTTATGTTATTATCAGAGAAAGGGTTATGTTGTTATTAGAGGAAGGGTTATGTTGTTATCAGACGAAGGGTTATAATGTTATTAGAGGAAGGGTTATGTTGTTATTAGACGAAGGGTTATGTTGTTATTAGCGGAAGGGTTATGTTGTTATTAGAGGAAGGGTTATGTTGTTATCAGAGGAAAGGTTATGTTGTTATTAGAGGAAGGGTTATATTGTTATTAGAGGAAGGGTTATGTTGTTATCAGAGGAAGGGTTATGTTGTTATTAGAAGAAATGTTATGTTGTTATCAGAGGAAATGCTATGTTGTTATTAGAGGAAATGTTATGTTGTTATCAGAGGAAATGTTATGTTGTTATCAGAGGAAATGTTATGTTGTTATTAGAGGAAAGGTTATGTTGTTATCAGAGGAAGGATTATGTTGTTATTAAAGGAAATGTTATTTGTTTATCAGAGGAAGGGTTATGTTGTTATTAGAGGAAAGGTTATGTTGTTTTCAGAGCAAGCATTTATGTTGTTTGCAAAGGAGCGGTTATGTGGTTATCGGTGGAGAGGTTAATTTGGTTTTCAGAGGAGCGGTTTTGTGGATACATGCACACTTCAACTATCAATTATGTGGTTATGACCATCAGTTTGTGAATTTGCATCGAATTAGATTTTTCTAAAAATTATCCACAAAAAGAAGTAAATTTTCTACATGAATTAAGACGACCATACATCCCATCTCATACGGTCGACCACGGACATTCTCCGATTACAGCGAATTATTTTAACCAAATCGTGCAAAGGGAGATAATGATCTTTTTGTAGTTCTACGGTCTGGAAAATGTTCAATTTAACCACTTTTTTATAGGATGATGAGCACTAACTGATTAGTTTGACCTCCGACCCCGGCTTTGAGGGAGTCACCAGGGATTGTCTTCTTATATAAAGTACAGGTCTTTAATGGTTAATTAGTTTGATAGTTTCGAGTACAAGGTGAAGGTTTATGTTCAGTGTACAATGGTCACGTTGAGATATACATCTTACAGATGAGCACGGCTAACCACGAGTCATAATATTTAATTATCTCCACGTTACCATTTACTCGACGAAACCCGATGAGACCCGATGTAAAATATGTTCTCCCGATTCGATCGCAATTTTGTTCAGATCTTTTATTCGAAGTCAAGTAGGTTATCTTGACATCTGAGCCAACCCATGGACATACGCGTATGTTGTGTTTATACTCCATTGTGCGGACATTTACAATATGATATTTCGGTAGGAGTTCCCGGGGTACTTCGGTGTGTATATATTTATAATTCAATATCTGTGCAATACATTATGTACCAATAATCTAAACTAGTTGGAAACATTAAAACGGTTTAGAAAATAAGCGATCTATGATGTATTAAAGTACTGTACATTGGCCATGTCAAAGACAGATTCGTCGAAGTTCTGGTGAAGAGACGAGAGTAAAACAGAAGTTTTTATACAAAGATATGGAGGAATAAAACTTTTACATCGTATGAAAAATGTTCGTTGTTTCTTCCTATCTACATAAACAAGTCCAGTGTATTCTCTTTAGAATTGGTTAACCGCAGACTTTACTTTTTCCGCATTCTCACTAGATTCGTGATACTCTCTGAACTACGGTATCGAGTCCTGTTCTCATGCGCAAACTCAATATCTGGTCCGGTGATGAATCTAAAATATCACATTTTTTTCAATGGCCTCGAAGACATTTTGGGAAAATTAGGACCCAAATCGTTTTAATTGTTTTAATTTGATTTTTTGACCGATTCACATGAATTTAAGGGAGTTGTAACAAGAAAGTTGCTCGAGCAGGAGACCAGTTTATTAAACACGGACTCAGACTTAACCATACACTAGTCCTGGTTTACCGTACTCTATAACACGGACTCAGACTTAACCATACACTGGTCCTGGTTTACCGTACTCTATAACACGGACTCAGACTTTACCATACACTAGTCCTGGTTTACCGTACTCTATAACACGGACTCAGACTTAACCATACACTAGTCCTGGTTTACCGTACTCTATAACACGGACTCAGACTTAACCATACACTAGTCCTGGTTTACCGTACTCTATAACACGGACTCAGACTTAACCATACACTAGTCCTGGTTTACCGTACTCTATAACACGGACTCAGACTTAACCATACACTAGTCCTGGTTTACCGTACTCTATAACACGGACTCAGACTTAACCATACACTAGTCCTGGTTTACCGTACTCTATAACACGGACTCAGACTTAACCATACACTAGTCCTGGTTTACCGTACTCTATAACACGGACTCAGACTTAACCATACACTAGTCCTGGTTTACCGTACTCTATAACACGGACTCAGACTTAACCATACACTAGTCCTGGTTTACCGTACTCTATAACACGGACTCAGACTTAACCATACACTAGTCCTGGTTTACCGTACTCTATAACACGGACTCAGACTTAACCATACACTAGTCCTGGTTTACCGTACTCTATAACACGGACTCAGACTTAACCATACACTAGTCCTGGTTTACCGTACTCTATAACACGGACTCAGACTTAACCATACACTAGTCCTGGTTTACCGTACTCTATAACACGGACTCAGACTTAACCATACACTAGTCCTGGTTTACCGTACTCTATAACACGGACTCAGACTTAACCATACACTAGTCCTGGTTTACCGTACTCTATAACACGGACTCAGACTTAACCATACACTAGTCCTGGTTTACCGTACTCTATAACACGGACTCAGACTTAACCATACACTAGTCCTGGTTTACCGTACTCTATAACACGGACTCAGACTTAACCATACACTAGTCCTGGTTTACCGTACTCTATAACACGGACTCAGACTTAACCATACACTAGTCCTGGTTTACCGTACTCTATAACACGGACTCAGACTTAACCATACACTAGTCCTGGTTTACCGTACTCTATAACACGGACTCAGACTTAACCATACACTAGTCCTGGTTTACCGTACTCTATAACACGGACTCAGACTTAACCATACACTAGTCCTGGTTTACCGTACTCTATAACACGGACTCAGACTTAACCATACACTAGTCCTGGTTTACCGTACTCTATAACACGGACTCAGACTTAACCATACACTAGTCCTGGTTTACCGTACTCTATAACACGGACTCAGACTTAACCATACACTAGTCCTGGTTTACCGTACTCTATAACACGGACTCAGACTTAACCATACACTAGTCCTGGTTTACCGTACTCTATAACACGGACTCAGACTTAACCATACACTAGTCCTGGTTTACCGTACTCTATAACACGGACTCAGACTTAACCATACACTAGTCCTGGTTTACCGTACTCTATAACACGGACTCAGACTTAACCATACACTAGTCCTGGTTTACCGTACTCTATAACACGGACTCAGACTTAACCATACACTAGTCCTGGTTTACCGTACTCTATAACACGGACTCAGACTTAACCATACACTAGTCCTGGTTTACCGTACTCTATAACACGGACTCAGACTTAACCATACACTAGTCCTGGTTTACCGTACTCTATAACACGGACTCAGACTTAACCATACACTAGTCCTGGTTTACCGTACTCTATAACACGGACTCAGACTTAACCATACACTAGTCCTGGTTTACCGTACTCTATAACACGGACTCAGACTTAACCATACACTAGTCCTGGTTTACCGTACTCTATAACACGGACTCAGACTTAACCATACACTAGTCCTGGTTTACCGTACTCTATAACACGGACTCAGACTTAACCATACACTAGTCCTGGTTTACCGTACTCTATAACACGGACTCAGACTTAACCATACACTAGTCCTGGTTTACCGTACTCTATAACACGGACTCAGACTTAACCATACACTAGTCCTGGTTTACCGTACTCTATAACACGGACTCAGACTTAACCATACACTAGTCCTGGTTTACCGTACTCTATAACACGGACTCAGACTTAACCATACACTAGTCCTGGTTTACCGTACTCTATAACACGGACTCAGACTTAACCATACACTAGTCCTGGTTTACCGTACTCTATAACACGGACTCAGACTTAACCATACACTAGTCCTGGTTTACCGTACTCTATAACACGGAATCAGACTTAACCATACACTAGTCCAGGTTAACCGTACTCTATAACACGGACTCATGCTTAACCATACACTAGTCCTGGTTTACCGTACTCTATAACACGGACTCATGCTTAACAATACACTAGTCCTGGTTTACCGTCCTCTATAACACGGACTCAGACTTAACCATACACTGGTCCTGGTTTACCGTACTCTATAACACGGACTCAGCCTTAACCATACACTGGTCCTGGTTTAATGTACTCTATCGACAGTGTAGTTCACATTTACTGTGTTTTGGCAACTACAATTCCAGATAGCGAAACTACATATGATAAACTACGTATTATAATAGACCCGGTACGTGCGCCATCTAGAAAGCAAGGGAAAAGTGTCAGGACCGACAACTTACTGTTGAAACATGTTTAAATGAAAAACAATAATACTGGCTCAGTTTGAACATTTATTACATAATGAACAGACAAGGAAACGTACATGTTGACTATGGAAAGAGGCGTGACGCCAGAAGAATAAGAAGTGATGACTACAGACATGGCACCAAAAGGAGGGAAAATATGATGACTAGAAATATGGTGCCGGTGGGAGAAGAAAGACGATGACTAGAGACGTGACGCGATAGGAAAAACTATAATATGGCTATAGGCGTGACGCCATAGGAAAAACTAAACTATGGTTATAGGCGTGACGTCATAGGAAAAATATACTATGGTTATAGGCGTGACGCCAGGGGGAAACAATAATATGGCTATAGGCGTGACGCCATAGGAAAATATACTATGGCTATAGGCGTGACGCCATAGGAAAAAAATACTATGGCTATAGGCGTGACGCGTGGGGGAAACTATACTATGGCTATAGGCGTGACGCCAGGGGGAAAAGAAAGAAGGTAGAAACAAGAACGTTTATTATCATAAATGACAACATGAACAATTTATCTAATGTTAACGAAACCTGTTTCCATGTGAGTTGTTTATTACATGGTTTCTGGTGCTTCCGCTTCCGGTTAGATAATCCGACTTGTCCATTTTCTTTTGTCTTACAATATTGAGCATTTTTCCTTGTTTTACTAGAATCAAACCTTTCTATAGCAATGTCTGGTACCACCACTGAGGTCTGCATGTTTTTTTGTAGATGCTGGGTTTCACAGTTAGACCGGATGCTAGAAGTCCTCCATTGTTTATCACTAGTGAAACCTTTGGCCTCTTTTTTATCATCAATGCTTCGTTTACTCCAGTGGACACTGCGTTGACTGGACCTACTACCGACACTGGCGGTGGATGTCTTCCTGACTTTTTCACCGGGATGTAAAGCATTGCTAACCTGTTTTCCATTAAGCACAGGTGAAATCTTCCTATCGCGTTTGACCTTTGGGCTGTTGGACGACACTGAAGACACACTGGCCTGTCTGTCTCTACTATAAGTCTGACTTCCGATACCAACACGAGGCTCATTATTTGTCTCGCCCGAATCATCTATCGATACTTGTGATTGGACGGATACTTGACGGTCAATTATCGGACTCATGAACCTTATCTCTGGAGTTTTACTGTCCTGACTAGAAGGACGCCTCTGGTTGTCAATAACTACGCTGGTACTAGGCCCAGACCTCCGGTCGGGGTCAGGGGGTACCACCGTTATACGTGTGATTTGGTGAGAAGCTTTCTTCTTTTTCATAGTACGTGATACAAGTATTTGTAAGAATTTTGGAATGGTGTCATTGCTTGGCTTGAAATAAAGGAAAATTGAGAGAATGGCGGACACGGACACCAGTACACTGTAAATCATCTGCCACATAAAGAAATAGCCGAGATACGTGAGTGTGTCGGAGGCCTTCGGGAGAAAAGATATGGTGTATATGAAGTAAAACGCTAACGTTATGAATCCTATAGACACTAATTGTCCCCGACCTTCCTCCGCAGGGAGCATGAAAGAACACGTGATCAAAATCGTTATCAAAAGGACAGGAAGGAGCAGGTTGATGACGAAATACGTAGGTTTACGTGACATAGTTATCTCAAAATGAATATTCGAACTGTGACCTGAAAGCGAACTGTAAACTTTCGTTTGGTCAATGTTCCATTCCGTGTTTGTATGAAGGGAGCCGAGGTCAATAATTTCACCAACTGTTGCAGAACTAAGTTTTACTTCATTCGGTTTGTATCCCACAATTCCAAACGAAATATTGCACGTTTGAACGTCAAAAGGGAAGTATTTAACATTAGTTGTACATAAAGACTTGATCACAGTCCTTGGCTTCCAAATCACTTGGCCGCCATTATAAATCAGAATTATGTCACTTCCGGTATTAAATCCGTCAATGTCATCAAACGGGTTCGTGGTGACGACTGGAGGTATCCAAACATCTGAAGCTCGCATTTGAATCATTTCCATATCCTTGAAACTATCCGAGTAGTTTTTCCACGATAAAAGTTGGTCCGTCCATTTGATCTCTAAATGACCGATGGAATGAAGAACACCAAGGACACAGTCCAATTCTGTGATAGAGTAAAGTGTCAAACTTGCTCGAACGTCCACTATGTCCCCCAACTGGTTGACCGGACGAACATATCTGTTATAGTTTAAAAAAATATCGGAATCAAAGTATCTTTGCATGGTCTGGCTTGTCACTGTTGTAAGATCGCCGACAGAAACGCATGTGCTGAACACGACCCAGGTTAGCAGCATTGGTGTACACTGCACTAAAGTCATCGGGAACCCTTGTAGTTCTCCAAAAGTCATCACACTAAAATGGCAAAGCATTTAGAAACAGGAGGGCACCTGCAGGGTGACGCAATTTTAAAATCCCATCCCTTGATATGATTACATGAGCAGTGAGATTGTTCTTTGTAAATGTAAAGGTCGTGCAGAAGTTCGAAGTCATAATTGCCGTCGATCGACGGTGTCCCTTACAGGGTGTAGGACCTAACACCCGGCTGGTCCTTGGTGTTTACACAAACGCCAGGCATATTCTATGATGTGACGTCACATTAACACCTTTCTCCGACTCCACCCGAGCGTTTAACTTGTGAGGTGACTTGTGTATAATGGCTCCTGCTCTTTATAGGTATACATTGTTGATAAAACGTACAAGGTTCAAGAAGGTCGATTGAAATGGAAGATACGGCGGTTATCATTTCATCACCGGGCGTTTCAGGTATAATTAATGTATTTTGAACCAAGTGGAACAATGTTGATCTAAAGCAATGATACGCATATTGACGCATATATACATTAAAATACGTATGGCTACATGTATGTAAAGTGCTCCGAGAAAGTAATGTTGTCCTGTCATCTTAAAAGGTGAAATTTCGATATATGTATTAATTATGAGATATAGGATAATGGTGAGATATAGAATATTGGAGAGATATAGGATAATGTGAGATATAGAAAATGGTGAGATATATGCTAATGGTGAGATATAGGTTATTGTGAGATATAGAATAATGGTGAGATATAGGGTAATGTGAGATATCGAATAATGGGGAGGTACATGTATAGGATAAGGATGAGGTTTATAATAATGCTTAGATTTAGGATAATGTGAGATATAGAAAATGGTGAGATATAGGATAATGGTGAGATATAGAATAATGGTGAGATATAGGATATTGTGAGATATTTAATAAAGGTCAGATAAAGGATAATGTGAGATATCGAATAATGGTGAGATATAGAATATTGGTGAGATATAGAATAATGTTGAGATAAAGGATAATGGTGAGATAAATGATAATGGTGAGATAAATGATAATGTGATATATAGATTAATGGTGAGACCTAGAATATTGGTGAAATATAGAATAATGGTGAGATAAAGGATAATGGTGAGATAAGGGATAATGTGAGATATAGAATAATGGTGAGATAAAGAGTAATGTGAGATATCGAATAATGGGGAGGTACATGTATAGGATAAGGATGAGGTTTATAATAATGCTTAGATATAGGATAATGTGAGATATAGAAAATGGTGAGATATAGGTTATTGTGAGATATAGAATAATGATGAGATATAGGATATTGTGAGATATTTAATAAAGGTGAGATAAAGGATAATGTGAGATATCGAATAATGGTGAGATAAAGGATAATGGTGAGATATTTATTAATGGTGAGATATAGGATAATGTGAGATATAGAATAATGGGGAGGTACATGTATAGAATAATGGTGAGGTATATAAAAATGCTAAGATATAGGATAATGTGAGATGTAGATAATGGTGAATTATAGGATATTGTGAGATATAGGATGATGGTGAGATATAGGATAATGTGAGATATAGAATAATAGTGAAATATAGAATAATGATGAGGCATAAAATAATGGTGAGGTATAGGTAAAAGGGGAGATATAGAATTATGGTGAGATAAAGAATAATGGTGAGATATAGGATAATGGTGAGATAAAGGATAATGTGAGATATAGAATAATGGTGAGATAAATAATATTGGTGAGATATTTAATAATGGTGAGATGAAGGATAAGGTGAGATATCGAATAATGGTGAGATATAGGGTAATGTGAGATATAAAATAATGGTGAGATATCGAATATTGGTGAGATATATGCTAATGGTGAGATATGGGATATTGTGAGATATAGAATAATAGTGAAATATAGAATAATGGTGAGGTATAGGTAAAAGGGGAGATATAGGATAATAATGAGATATATGATAATGGGGAGATATAGAATAATGGTGAGATATAGAATAATGGTGAGATATAAAATAATGCTGAGATATAGGATAATGGTGAGATAAAGAATAATGGTGAGATAAAGGATAATGGTGAGATAAAGGATAATGTGAGATATAGAATAATGGTGAAATATATAGAATAATGGTGAGGTATAGGAAAAAGGGGAGATATATGATAATAATGAGATATAGGATAATGGTGTGGTATAGGATAATGTGAGATATAGAATAATGGTGAATTATTTAGAATAATGGTGAGGCATAGAATAATGGTGAGGTATAGGTTAAAGGGGAGATATAATAATAATATACCACATTTGATATAGCGCCCTATCTAGCTAACATAAGCCACTCTAAAGCGCTTTACAGTACATAAATATACAATTTTATATATTAATCAATACAATATTGAGGAATTCGCAAGATCTGCCTTATCAGGCGCGAACTACTAGTCCTATGCCACCTGGCTAATATCTCCCTATGTGTGTATGCCTGTGTGTGTGCTGGAGATGTATTGTGTTCTGTTTGAAGTGGGACCGTGCTTCCAACGGTATCATTTATAGTGCCATCTCACTTGAATGCTACATCACAGATACCGCAACACCCACCCCAGACCATTTACTACTCCACCTGGGTTGTTGGAGTTGGGTGGGCAGGAGAAAAACACTTTCTCCAATAGTCCATGCGTAAGGCGACCTCGGGGATCAAACCCCGGCCGCCTGCTTGGAAGGCCGGAGTGTTTGCCACTCGACCAATCCGATAATAATGAGATATAGAATAATGGTGAGATATATAATAATGTTGAGATATAGGATAATGTGAAATATAGAATATTGGCAGATATAGAATAATGGTGAGATATAGAATAATGGTGAGATATGGGATAATGTGAGATATAGAATAATGATGAGGTATAGAATAATGGTGAGATATATAATAATACTGACATATAGGATAATAGTGAGATATAGGATAATGGGGAGATATAGAATAATGGTAAGATATAGAATTATGGTGAGATAAAGAATAATGGTGAGATATAGGATAATGGTGAGACAAAGGATAATGTGAGATATAGAATAATGGTGAGATAAATATTATTGGTGAGATACTTAATAATGGTGAGATGTAGGATAATAGTGAGATATCGAATAATGGTGAGATATAGGGTAATGTGAGATATAAAATAATGGTGAGATATAGAATAATGTGAGATATCGAATAATGGTGAGATATAGGGTAATGTGAGATATAGAAAAATGGGGAGGTTCATGTAAAGGATAATGGTGAGGTATATAATAATGTTGAGATATAGGATAATGTGAGATATAGAAAATGGTGAGATATATGCTAATGGTGAGATATGGGATATTGTGAGATATAGAATAATAGTGAAATATAAAATAATGTTGAGGCATTGAATAATGGTGAGGTATAGGTAAAAGGGGAGATATAGAATAATAATGAGATATAGGATAATGGGGAGATATAGAATAATGGTGAGATATAGAATAATGGTGAGATATAGAATAATGCTGAGATATAGGATTATGGTGAGATAAAGAATAATGGTGAGATAAAGGATAATGTGAGATATAGAATAATGGTGAAATATATAGAATAATGGTGAGGTATACGAAAAAGGGGAGATATAGGATAATAGTGAGATATAGGATAATGGGGAGATATAGAATAAGGGTGAGATAAAGGATAATGGTGAGATATAGAATAATGGTGAGATATATGATAATAATGAGATATAGGATAATGGGGAGATATAGAATAATGGTGAGATATAGAATAATGCTGAGATATAGGATAATGTGAGATATAGAAAATGGTGAGATATATGCTAATGGTGAGATATAGGATAATGTGAGATATAGAATAATGATGAGGTATAGAATAATGGTGAGACATAGAATAATGGTGAGATATAGAATAATGATGAGATATAGAATATTGGTGAGATATAGAATATTGGGGAGGTATAGGATGATGCTGAGATATAGGTAAATGGCGAGATATAGAATAATGGTGAGATATAGAATAATGGTGAGATATGGAATAATGTTGAGATATAGAATAATGGGAAGGTATAGGATGATGCTGAGATATAGGTAAATGGCGAGATATACATATAGGTAAATGGTGAGATATATGATAATGGTGAGATATAGAATATTGGGAAGGTATAGGATGAGTCTGAGATATATTTAAATGGCGAGATATACATATAGGTAAATGGTGAGATATATGATAATGGTGAGATATAGAATATTGGGAAGGTATAGGATGATGCTGAGATATAGGTAAATGGCGAGATATAGAATAGTGGTGAGATATAGAATAATGGGGAGATATAGGTAAATGGCGAGATATAGAATAATGGTGAGATATAGAATAATGGGGAGATATAGGTAAATGGTGAGATATGGAATAATGGTGAGATATAGAATATTGGTGAGATATAGGTAAATGGTGAGATATAGAATATTGGGAAGGTATAGGATGATGATGAGATATAGGTAAATGGTGAGATATAGAATAATGGTGAGATATAGAATAATGGGGAGATATAGGATAATGTGAGATATAGAATAATGTGAGATATAGAATAATGTGGAGATATAGGTAAATGGTGATATATGGAATAATGGTGAGATATAGAATATTGGTGAGATATAGAATAATGTGAGATATATAATATTGATGTGAAAATAATGGTGAGAGATAGAATAATGGTAGGATTCCACATGCTATTTACTTACTTATTCCAATACGTTCCCCATAGCATCTACTTGCCTATTACAATACATACCCTTACCATCTATTTTCCTATTACGATACGTTCCCATACCATCTATATCTATTACAATAACATTTTCTTTCTTATAACAGAATGTTCCCTATAACATGTACTCTGGTATTACAATACGTTCCCCATAGCATCTACTTGCCTATTACAATACGTACCCTTACCATCTACTTGCCTATTACAATACGTACCCTTACCATCTATGTTCCTATTACGATACGTTCCCATACCATCTATATCCATTACAATAACATCTTCTTTCTTATAACAAAATGTTCCCTATAACATGTACTCTGGTATTACAATACGTTCCTCATAGCATCTACTTTCTTATCACAATACGTTCCCCATTCTATATACTATCTAATTACAATACGTTCCTCATAGCATCTACTTTCTTATTACAATCCGTTCCCCATTCTATTTACTTTCTTATTACAATACGTTCCCGATACCATGTGTTTTCTTATTACAAAACGTTCCCCATTCTATTTACTTTCTTATTACAATCCGTTCCCCATTCTATTTACTTTCGTATTACAATACGTTCCCGATACCATGTGTTTTCTTATTACAAAACGTTCCCCATTCTATATACTTTCTAATTACAATACATTTCCCATTCTATATACTTTCTTATTACAATACGTTCCCAATTCCATCTACTTTCTTTTCACAATACGTTCCCCATTCTATATACTTTTTTAATGCAATACGTTCCCCATTCAAAATACTTTCTAATTACAATACGTTCCCCATACCATGTGTTTTCTTATTACAAAACGTTCCCCATTCTATATACTTTCGTTTTACAATACGTTCCCCATTCCATCTACTTTCTTTTTACAATACGTTCCCCATTCTATATACTTTCTTATTACAATACGTTCCCCATTCTATATACTTTTTTATTGCAATACGTTCCCCATTCAAAATACTTTCTAATTACAATACATTCCCCATTCTATTTACTTTTGTATTACAATACGTTCCCCATTCTATATACTTTCTTATTACAAAACGTTCCCCATTCTTTATACTTTCGTATTACAATACGTTCCCCATTCTATATACTTTTTTATTGCAATACGTTCCCCATTCAAAATACTTTCTAATTACAATACATTTCCCATTCTATATACTATCTAATTACAATACGTTCCCCATACCATGTGTTTTCTTATTACAATACGTTCCCCATTCAATATACTTTCGTTTTACAATACGTTCCCCATTCCATCTACTTTCTTTTTACAATACGTTCCCCATTCTATATACTTTCTTATTACAAAACGTTCCCCATTCTATATACTTTCGTATTACAATACGTTCCCCATTCCATCTACTTCCTTTTCACAATACGTTCCCCATTCTATATACTTTCTTATTACAATACGTTCCCCATCCTATATACTTTCTAATTACAATATATTTCCCATTCTATATACTTTCTTGTTACAATAAGTTCCACATTCTATATACTTCCTTATTACAATACGTTCCCCATTCTATATACTTTCTTATTCCAATACGTTCCCCATCCTATATACTTTCTTATTACAAGACGATCCCCATTCTATATTCTTTCTTATTACAATGCGTTCCCCATTCTATATACTTCCTTAATACAATACGTTCCCCATTCTATAATACCATGTGTTTTCTTATTACAATACGTTACCCATTCTATATACTTTCTCAATACAATACGTTCCCCATTCAATATACTTTCTTATTACAAAACGTTCCCCATTTTATATACTTTCGTATTATAATACGTTCCCCATTCCATCTTCTTTTTATCACAATACGTTCCCCATTCCCTTACCATCTATTTTCCTATTACGATACGTTCCCATACCATCTATATCTATTACAGTAACATTTTCTTTCTTATAACAGAATGTTACCTATAACATGTACTCTGGTATTACAATACGTTCCCCACTCTATATACTTTCTTATTAATTACAATACATTTCCCATTCCATCTACTTTCTTTTCACAATACGTTCCCCATTCATTCTATATACTTTCTTGTTCCAATAAGTTCCACATTCTATATACTTCATTATTACAATACGTTCCCCATACCATGTTTTTTCTTATTACAATACGTTACCCATTCTATATACTTTCTTGTTCCAATAAGTTCCACATTCTATATACTTCCTTAATACAATACGTTCCCCATTCTATATATTTTCGTATTACAATACGTACAATACGTTCCCCATTCAATATACTTTCGTTTTACAATACGTTCCCCATCCTATATACTTTCTAATTACAAAACGTTCCCCATTTTATATACTTTCTTATTACAAGACGATCCCCATTCTATATTCTTTCTTATTACAATACGTATTTCCCATTCTATATACTTTCTTGTTACAGTAAGTTCCACATTCTATATACTTCCTTAATACAATACGTTCCCCATTCAATATACTTTCGTTTTACAATACGTTCCCCATCCTATATACTTTCTTATTACAAAACGTTCCCCATTCTATATATTTTCGTATTACAATACGTACAATACGTTCCCCATTCATTCTATATACTTTCTTGTTCCAATAAGTTCCACATTCTATATACTTCCTTAATACAATACGTTCCCCATTCAATATACTTTCTTATTACAATCCGTTCCCCATTCTATATACATACTTCCTTATTACAATACGTTCCCTATTCTATATACTTTCTTATTCCAATACGTTCCCCATTTTATATACTTTCTTATTACAAGACGATCCCCATTCTATATTCTTTCTTATTACAATGCGTTCCCCATTCTATATACATACTTCCTTATTACAATACGTTCCCCATCCCATGTGTTTTCTTATTACAAAACGTTCCCCTTTCTATATACTTTCGTTTTACAATACGTTCCCCATTTTATATACTTTCGTATTACAATACGTTCCCCATTCCATCTTCTTTTTTTCACAATACGTTCCCCATTCTTTATACTTTCTAATTTCAATACGTTCCCCATACCATGTGTTTTCTTATTACAATACGTTCCCCATTCTATATACTTTCGTTTTACAATACGTTCCCCATTCCATCTACTTTTTTTCACAATACGGTCCCCATTCTTTATACTTTCTAATTAATCCATTTCCCATTCTATATACTTTCTTATTACAAAACGTTCCCCATTCTATATACTTTCGTATTACAAAACGTTCCCCATTCCATCTACTTCCTTTTCATAATACGTTCCCCATTCTATATACTTTCTTATTACAATACGTTCCCCATCCTATATACTTTCTAATTACAATAAGTTCCACATTCTATATACTTCCTTATTTAAATACGTTCCCCATTCTATATACTTTCTTATTTCAATAAGTTCCCGATTCTATATACTTTCGTATTACAATACGTTCCCCATTCTATATACTTTCTTATTACAATAATATCCCCATTCTATATACTTTCTCAATACAATACGTTCCCCATTCTATATACTTTCTTATTACAATACGTTCCCCATTCTATATACTTTCTTATAACAATACGTTCCCCATTCCATCTACTTTTTTTCACAATACGTTCCCCATTCTTTATACTTTCTAATTTCAATACGTTCCCCATTCTATATATTTTCGTATTACAATACGTTCCCCATTCCATCTACTTTCTTTTTACAATATGTTCCCCATTCTATATACTTTCTTATTACAATACGTTCCCCATTCTATATACTTTCGTATTACAATACGTTCCTCATTCTATATACTTTCATTTTAGTTACGTCCCCCATACCATCTATTTTTTATTGCAATGCGTTCCCCATACCATGTGTTTTTCTGATTACCATAATTCCCCATACCATGTGTTTTTCTTATTACCATAATTTCCCATACCATGTGTTTTCTTAATACCATAATTCCACTATATCATCTTTTCCCTCATTACAATACCTTCCCCTGTGATATCCATTTCTCCACATATCATCTGTTTCCAAGTGACGACGGCCCATTTACCATCTGCTTTTTTCTCCATTTGTGTACATTTCATATACTTTGTTTTTCATTTGTATACTGTCTTTTATACCATGTCTTTTCAATTATCTACATATAGTTTACTAAGTATATTCCAATCGTCTAGTTTCTCAAATATTACAATTTCATTTTTTCTACCTTTATTATCACCATCTGTTTTGTAATTGTGTATTTTCCATACCAGTGTCTGTGTTCCCTTATGTCATCAGCTCACAATTTTTAGTTGCAATCGAACCTCAATAGAATGAAAGAAAGAAATTGGTTCTTCGAGCTGGAAACTCTAAACTAAAAATGCATAAGAACGCATTGCAGACTAAACAACAAGTGAACGACTATCGAAATGATAACGACAACCATGCATCAGCTTTAACAACGCAATTATTTAATGAATAACCAGAGTTAGCCCCCCTTTGTATAACGTTATGACATATGTACAGATATGATTTTAAGTTGGTAACTTCCATTATCAGAGCTCGAAAGCACGTGCAGAGTAATTCCACTTTCAACTTCTAATATCTCATTTGGCCAGCTCGGACAGAACAGTTCATTGAACAGCTGATGCATGTATCTTTGTGTGTCTGTCCTTAGCACATTTCGACAAGGAAATATTTTGTAAAGTCTTAAATTGAAATATTCTCGATATACGAACGAACACTCCATACAAACGTTTATCTCCATACAAACGTTTATCTGACAACGTTGTTGTGTCGAACGTGACATGTGTGTTTTGTACCACGTGACTGTTAGCCCTCCAACCCGGCATTGACAAGTGGATACATGAAGAAAATGGTGATACCCAACGAGAAGAAGAAAAAGAATATAAAACAGAACCCGTCCAAAGCTCCACCCACCATCCTCCACGTGATCCCTTTGATGTCCCTGTCATCAACTGGTGCCTGGATACTGTCTACTTCGGCATCGCTGTTGTCATCGTCATCATCGTTGTCGATGATATCTGCCACTGCGTTCCTGCTCGTCTTCTTTTTGCTACACCACTTTTTGCATTTCCGGCATGTCATGAACGCAACCATGTGGCGTACAGCTTCCGGGGGCGTGGTCTCCTCGTCTTGATGGTAGACTCTCAATATCAGAATAGTTACTATGGTGATGAGGGAACTCACCATCAACATTAGAGTCAAGAAGTAACACAGCAGTGACATTGGCTCAGAGGCTTTGGGTAAGTTTTCGGCCACCATCGTCAAAAACACAGCGAATGTCAAGAAAGCCGTGATGGCGTAACCCACGCGTTCACCACAGTCAGCCGGAAGTAGAAATACCAGACCATTGAGAAGCCCAATGATGAGGATAGGGATGATCATGTTGACAAGAAAATATCCAGGTTTCCGGGCGAGGTCAAGGGTGAAGATGACATATGACACGTCTGCTATAATGGTACTCATGACCGAGGTGGACTCCAGGGTCCACTCAACATTCTCCATGTAGAGGGACAGGTCGATCGGGTTGGAGGAATTCACGACAATCTGAACAAAAAATAGTGCAATCGCTATCATTACTTGATAGATAATGATCATTTTATATGCATCAAAAAAAACTTTGGAAATTTTGAAATTGTTTCTACCCAATGCACGTCTCTAAATATGAGGTGTGGTTCAACCTGATATAGTTTGAGAAAATCTTCAAAACGTATTGAAGTTAAGTTATAATGTAGTACATGTACCTATTGTAAAACAACACGCATGAGGTTGAGAGGTAGTTACTATTGGTCAGTTTATCAATAACCCTGAAGATTGAGATGTAGAAAGTACGTATCACTTACCTGGTCTTTCAGGTAGCCTAACGGGGCAAATGTGACGTTGCATGATTGCCTGTCGAAGGGATAGAGCGTGACGTCAACGGTACACGACGTTTTAGCGACTATGCCGACATTCCAGAGAGCATTACCCTCGTAGTCGATCCGGATTTTGTACGTAGAGTCCCCAAGTTCGGCGAGAGAGTCGACAGAATTTGTGAGAGTAACCGGGGGTCTCCAGAAGGATGACTGTGGCAAGAGGAGGCTCTCTATGGGATTATCGTCTACCAGGTTCCACGTGAGAAGCTCGTTTCTCCATCGAATCACAGCAAGACCGACAATCGCCAGGTTTCCGTTCAGTTCATCAAAATCGGTTACTCCAACCAAAGTGAACTCGATGTCAACATCTAAGTGCTCTATTTGGAATATCTTCGGGAAAATTTTGTCGCTGAAACTCCTGAACGGTTCATTGTCCAGAAATTCTTTGAAGTTTGTACTTGTGGCAGACAAAACACTATCTAAGTTCCAAAAACTGACACAAAGTAGGACCACAATTCCGTAGGTGGAACAGAGGTTCGCCATTTTGAATTCCTTACCCAAGCGTAATAATGTAGTTCGGCTGTTTGAAAATATTCGTTATATAAAACAATGGACAAGTCAAATTAAGTATATGTGGACATATGTGGTGGTGCCAGTAGGGGTTTAACTTGTAACGAATGCCACAAAACTACGCATACACTCAATCAAATTAAATGTTGTAAAGAATATATATACCCTATGACGATGATATCATTGTTCGTCCGCACATAGATCAATGATACCTATCTTAAAAACAAAGAAATCCATGATACGAAACACTAGTACTTGGCTAACAGTAACAGCGCCTGTCTGTTTACTGCGATGTTGCCCTTAACGGCTATTACTCGAATATTTTTTAATCATTCAAATTTGTTGTGTAATATGAATAGTAATGAATAAGTGAGTAAATTGAATTAACAGCGATCCTGACAACTTGGACCTGGATTTGAATATTCAGACAAATACAAGTTACGGTGTGGTGATATGCTCGGAAAATTATTATCAATAATAAGTGAAAACAAAACCCTTAACAACAATTGGAATTATACAACGCTTAATGAACGAAAAGGAGAACAAAATTGAATCTATATATAGAATATTTAAACTCTGAATATTCCCGACGTTGATAAATAAACAATATATGGCATACCGTGTGTATTATCTTATAGATAGAAGTTACTTTATTTATAAAGGAATGAGTACAACTATATAATATAGAGAAGTCGTGAGTTCCATTGAAATGACCCGGTGTATAGTAGTTTTGTCTCTTACCTTGAGGTATAACAGACAATATCTCAGCCCGAGAGGTGATATTACTGATAGTCTAACCCGAGGCTCGCTTCAAGCCGATGTTAAGACATTCAAGAATCTCATCTCGAAGTTTGTGATTTTTCTGAGCAACCATCACTGTGAGGTAGAATTATTCATAATAATTCACATCTTTCAACTTTATGTTTGGAAACAACGTTTACAGTATTTTAATGGTATTTCCCATAGTTTCACACATCTTTCGTCGAAAGCTGATAGTAAGGTCTTATTTTATATTTCCCCAGTGCATTCTGTCATAAACTATGGGGTGAGAGAGAAATCATATCCTTGGAGGTGACAGAAAAATCATACCGGAGCTGGTGATATAGAGATCACACCCTAGGGAGCGACAGAGCACTCGAACCTTAGGACGAGACGAGAAAAGACAAGACAAGACAAGACAAGACAAGACAAGGCGAGACAAGACAAGACGAGACAAGACAAGACAAGACAAGACAAGACGAGACGAGACGAGACGAGACGAGACAAGACAAGACAAGACAAGACAAAAGACAAGACAAGACAAAACGAGACGAGACGAGACGAGACGAGACGAGACGAGACAAGACAATACAAGACAAGACAAGACAAAAGACAAGACAAGACAAGACAAAAGACAAGACAAGACAAGACAAGACAAGACAAGACAAAAGACAAGACAAGACAAGACAAGACAAGACAAGATTTTATTCTTTTAAACCACAATTTACATGTGATATTAAGAAAATATACAATGGATACATTCAAGATAGAGTACGTGCTGTTTTAACCAGGAGAACAGACTCTCTCTATTACTATATTAATATATTTGCATATTTTAACTAGTAAAACTTTGTTATTTGTTGAAAAAAGTTGCTGGAATTTTAAACAGTTTGGTTGCCTGCTATGATAATTTGGAATATACAATTTTCTTTCATTTGAAAAATTTGGACAATTAAACATATAATGAAATTCATCTCCAACTTCAGTATTACACAAATGGCATATTCTATTTCTTCTCTCTATATTTAACCATCTTCCTCTTTCTATTGGAGGTTTTTGTGGACAGGATGTTTAGATAATTTTATAATTTTTGTTGATCTTTAAATAATTTATAATTTATTCCTTTGCTGGATTCATTTTTGTCAGAATCTCAATTTTGCAAAAATTGGTAAAATATAATTCGTTCAACTTTTTTTTTTTTACCACAAAATATTTGGAAATGTTTGTGATATCCATATATTGGATAATCCACACTCATCAAATATACTTTTCACATATCTCATCCAGGGGATGTAATAACCAGTTTCCCCATTTTCTTCTGCAATTTTGTGAAATAGTAATTTATACAAAATACGGATATTTTATTTTAATCTGCTTCTTTCTTACTTTTATATTTAATGATAGGGGATATCTCCCCAATTCGCCATACACCATAAAATTTGGCGTAGACTTATTAGGGGCTTACAGAGATATCATACCTTAGGGACTAACAGAGAAATCATGCCTTAGGGGCTTACAGAGAAATCATAACTTAGGGGGCGACAGAAAACTCGTACCTTAGGGGCTTACAGAGAAATCATACCCCAAGGAAAGACAGAAAACCCATACCTTAAGGAGAGACAAAAAACCAATACCTTAGGGGATTACAGAGATATCATACCTAAAGGAGAGACAGAAAACTCATACCTAAGGGGCTTACAGAGAAATCATACCCTAAGGAGAGAGAGAAAACTCATACCTTAGGGGCTTACAGAGAAATCAAACCTCAGGGAGAGACAGAGAAATCAGACCCTAAGGAGAGACAGAAAACTCATACCTTAGGGGCTTACAGAGCAATCATACCTTAGGGAGAGACAGAAAGGTCATACCTTAGGGGCTTACAGAGAAAGCATACCCTAAGGAGAGACAGAAAGGTCATACCTTAGGGGCTCACAGAGAAATCATACCCTAAGGAGAGACAGAAAACCCATACCTTAAGGAGAGACAGAAAACCAATACCTTAGGGGACGACAGAAAACTCATACTTTAGGGGCTTACAGAGAAATCTAACTTAAGGACATACAGAGAAATCATACCTTAGGGGCTTACAGAGAAATCATACCTTAGGGAGAGACAGAAAACTCATACCTTAGGGGCTTACAGAGCAATCATACCTTAGGGAGAGACAGAAAGGTCGTACCTTAGGGGCTTACAGAGAAAGCATACCCTAAGGAGAGACAGAAAGGTCATACCTTAGGGGCTTACAGAGAAAGCATACCCTAAGGAGAGACAGAAAGGTCATACCTTAGGGGCTTACAGAGAAAGCATACCCTAAGGAGAGACAGAAAGGTCATACCTTAGGGGCTTACAGAGAAATCATACCCTAAGGAGTGACAGAAAACTCGTACCTTAGGGGCTTACAGAGAAATCATACCCTAAGGAGTGACAGAAAACTCGTACCTTAGGGGCTTACAGAGAAATCATACCCTAAGGAGAGACAGAAAGGTCATACCTTAGGGGCTTACAGAGAAAGCATACCCTAAGGAGAGACAGAAAGGTCATACCTTAGGGGCTTACAGAGAAATCATACCCTAAGGAGAGACAGAAAACTCGTACCTTAGGGGCTTACAGAGAAATCATACCCTAAGGAAAGACAGAAAACCCATACCTTAAGGAGAGACAAAAAACCAATACCTTAGGGGATTACAGAGATATCATACCTAAAGGAGAGACAGAAAACTCATACCTAAGGGGCTTACAGAGAAAACATACCTGAGGGGCTGGCAGAGAAATCATACCCTAAGGAAAGACAGAAAACCCATACCTTAAGGAGAGACAGAAAACTCATACCTTAGGGGCTTACAGAGAAATCCAGCTTAAGGACTTACAGTGAAATCATACCTTAAGGACTTACAGAGAAATCATACCTGAGGGGCTTGCAGAGAAATCATACCCTAAGGAAAGACAGAAAACCCATACCTTAAAGAGAGACAGAAAACCAATACCTTAGGGGCTTACAGAGAAATCATACCTAAAGGAGAGAGAGAAAACTCATACCTTAGGGGATTACAGAGAAATCCTACCCTAAGGAGAGACAGAAAACTCATACCTTAGGGGCTTACAGACAAATCGTACCCTAAGGAGAGACAGAAAGCTCGTGCCTTAGGGGCTTACAGAGAAATCTAACTTAAGGACATACAGAGAAATCATACCTTAGGGGCTTACAGAGAAATCATACCCTAAGGAGAGACAGAAAACTCGTACCCTGGGGGCTTACAGAGAAATCACACCTAAGGGACTTACAGAGAACTCGTACCTTAGGGGGCGACAGAAAACTCGTATCTTAGGGGCTTACAGAGTAATCATACCGTAGGGGATTACAGAAAAACCACACCTTGGGGGTGCTTACAGAGAAATCATACCTTAGGGGATTACAGAGAAATCACACCTTCGAGGCTTACAGAGAAATCATACCTTAGGGGATTACAGAAAAACACACCTTAGGGACTTACACATATGTCATACCTTAGGGACTTTCAGAGAAATCCTACCTGAGGTGGCGACAGAAAACTCGTACCATAGGGACTTACAGTGAAATCGTACCTTAGGGGGCGACAGAAAACTTCTACCTTAGGGACTTTCAGAGAAATCCTACCTTAGGGGGCGACAGAAAACTCGTACCTTAGGGGATTACAGAGAAATCACACCTTTGGGGCTTAAAGAGAAATCACTCCTTTGGGGATTACAGAGAAACTATACCTTCGGGGGCGACAGAAAACTCGTACCTTAGTGGATTACAGAGAAATCACACCTTTGGGGCTTAAAGAGAAATCACTCCTTTGGGGATTACAGAGAAACTATACCTTCGGGGGCGACAGAAAACTCGTACCTTAGTGGATTACAGAGAAATCACACCTTTGGGGCTTAAAGGGAAATCACACCTTTGGGGATTACAGAGAAACTATACCTTCGGGGGCGACAGAAAACTCGTACCTTAGGGGCTTACAGAGAAGTCATACCCTAAGGAGAGACAGAAAACTCTTACCTTAGGGGCTTACAGAGAAATCCTACCCTAAGGAGAAACAGAAAACTCGTACCTTAGGGGCTTACAGAGAAATTACCTTAGGGGCTTACAGAGAAATCATCCCCTAAGGAGAGACAGAAAACCCATACCTTAGGGGCTTACAGAGCAATCATTCCTTAGGGGCTTACAGAGAAATCATACTCTAAGGAGAGACAGAAAACTCGTACCTTAGGGGCTTACAGAGAAATCACACCTTTGGGGCTTAAAGAGAAATCACTCCTTTGGGGATTACAGAGAAACTATACCTTCGGGGGCGACAGAAAACTCGTACCTTAGGGGCTTACACATATGTCACTCATACCTTAGGGACTTTCAGAGACATCTTACTTTAGGGGGCGACAGAAAACTCATACCTTAGGGGATTACAGAGATACCATCTTACGGAGAGGCAAAAAACCAATACCTTAGGGGATTACAGATAAATCATACCTAGAGGAGAGACAGAAAACTCATACCTTAGGGGGTTACAGAGAAAGCATACCTTAGGGGCTTACAGAGCAATCATCCCTTAGGGGCTTACAGAGAAATCATACCTTAGGGGGCGACAGAAAACTCGTACCTTAGTGGATTACAGAGAAATCACACCTTTGGGGCTTAAAGGGAAATCACACCTTTGGGGATTACAGAGAAACTATACCTTCGGGGGCGACAGAAAACTCGTACCTTAGGGGCTTACAGAGAAATTACCTTAGGGGCTTACAGAGAAATCATGGCCTAAGGAGAGACAGAAAACCCATACCTTAGGGGCTTACAGAGCAATCATACCTTATGGGCTTACAGAGAAATCATACCCTAAGGAAAGACAGAAAACCCATACCCTAAGGAGAGAAAGAAAACCAATACCTTAGGGGATTACAGAGAAATCATACCTTAAGGAGAGACAGAAAACTCATACCTAAGGGGCTTACAGAGAAATCATACCTTCGGGAGAAACAGAAAACTCATACCTTAGGGGCTTACAGAGCAATGATACCTTAGGGGCTTACAGAGAAATCAAACCTCAGGGAGAGACAGAGAAATCAGACCCAAACCACACCTTGGGGGTGCTTACAGAGAAATCATACCTTAGGGGCCTACAGAGAAATCATACCCTAAGGAGAGAGAGAAAACTCATACCTTAGGGGCTTACAGAGCAATGATACCTTAGGGGCTTACAGAGAAATCATTCCCTAAGTAGAGACAGAAAACCCATACCTTAAGGAGAGACAGAAAACCAATACCTTAGGGGATTACAGAGAAATCATATCTTAGAGAGAGACAGAAAACTCATACCTTAGGGCCTTACAGAGAAATCATCCCCTAAGGAGAGACAGAAAACCCATACCTTAGGGGCTTACAGAGCAATCATTCCTTAGGGGCTTACAGAGAAATCATACCATACCTTAGGGGCTTACAGAGAAATCCAACTTAAGGACTTACAGAGAAATCATACCTGAGGGGCTTACAGAGAAATCATACCCTAAGGAAAGACAGAAAACCCATACCTTAAGGAGAGAAAGAAAACCAATACCTTAGGGGATTACAGATAAATCATACCTAGAGGAGAGACAGAAAACTCATACCTTAGGGGCTAACAGAGTAATCATACCGTAGGGGATTACAGAGAAACCACACCTTGGGGGTGCTTACAGAGAAATCATACCTTAGGGGGCGACAGAAAACTCGTACCTTAGTGGATTACAGAGAAATCACACCTTTGGGGCTTAAAGGGAAATCACACCTTTGGGGATTACAGAGAAACTATACCTTCGGGGGCGACAGAAAACTCGTACCTTAGTGGATTACAGAGAAATCACACCTTTGGGGCTTAAAGAGAAATCACTCCTTTGGGGATTACAGAGAAACTATACCTTCGGGGGCGACAGAAAACTCGTACCTTAGGGGATTACAGAGAAATCACACCTTTGGGGCTTAAAGGGAAATCACACCTTTGGGGATTACAGAGAAACTATACCTTCGGGGGCGACAGAAAACTCGTACCTTAGGGGCTTACAGAGAAATTACCTTAGGGGCTTACAGAGAAATCATTCCCTAAGGAGAGACAGAAAACCCATACCTTAAGGAGAGACAGAAAACCAATACCTTAGGGGATTACAGATAAATCATACCTAGAGGAGAGACAGAAAACTCATACCTTAGGGGCTTACAGAGAAAGCATACCTTAGGGGCTTACAGAGCAATCATACCTAAGGGGCTTACAGAGAAATCATACCTTAGGGAGAAACAGAAAACTCATACCTTAGGGGCTTACAGAGCAATCATACCTTAGGGGCTTACAGAGAAATCATACCTTAGGGGGCGACAGAAAACTCATACATTGGGGGCTTACATATAAATCATAACTTAGGGGGCGACAGAAGTGTTCGTGCTGTTGGTACAGGTGTATGGTGCAGCGTAATTCATTTTCTGAAGGAAGCATCCCCATCTATGTATCTAAGGTTCTATTTGTACCTATACTACAGGTGAGTGCATATAGTAGGTATTTGTATTGCAAAAACATATCTTTAATGGAAAAATAAAATGCTGAAAGTGTAAGGAAGTCTAAAGAAAGCCGTCATTTAAACTAAAATGGATGAAACTGGGCAAAGTTTGAAGAAAAGAAAGATTTAATTTGTAAAGATATAATAAAGATATAATATATAGGGATGTTATCGTTGTTTCTTCTGGGAACACGACCTATGCATTCCTATTCATCTCCGATATTGATCGAGCCCTTTCTCTTTGTGTAACTAAGGGTTGTTGATTGTTACTAGGAAACGAATGTTATATATTTTTTAAAGGCATTATCTATGGAAGGTGTTTACCCTGTTATCTGCTGCCGTTGTTCGCTACATTTCAGATCTGTATACTAAGACGGTTAATACATCGCTGTTGTACATATTTAGATTGGTCTTGGTGATGTACCTTGATGAACTTCACACTAGTGTCCTAGATGTATAACAAACGTTTAAATTATTTCACAATAAATATATTATAATATACATTGTCCATACCATAGGAGAGGGCTTGTATAGGCATTACGCATGTTGCCCAATTCCTTTTGAAATGTGTATAAGATGCAATATTTGATAAAAAAAAAAAAAAAGTGAAATACAATGAACTTCACACTGGCTGTAGCATGGTAAATGTGTACAAGGGGAGGTCTTCGGATTTTGTCTACAGGAGCGCCTCCTACCGGTCTAGAAGTACCCCGTGAAAAATACATAAGTTGACATCCTCCATAATTCATTCCTGATGGCCATGGGGTCTTTATTTCTATGCATAATTTTTGTTTGTACTTATGGTATTAAAGTTAACCCTACATATCTGATGTTTCAGTAAGTATGTTGTATGTTGGTTTTGTCTTGCAGATCTTGATGTTTGCTAGAATTCAATGCCAAGTCATCGGCACGTAGGTCCTCAAGTGTTGTCGTTAACTTCCGTGTTAGCCCTCCGTCCTGGTTGTAAGTGTTCTCTATGACCCAGTCTTAGATCCAGGCTTGACACAACCCTATGCTACACCAAACAACCCCCTCTGATGATCTTCCTTCGTCTATTGTGCAACTGCTGGGCCTAATCCCGTCACATTTCTGGGAGTCTACAATGCCTAAGGCTATCCTACAGCTTTGATCTGATGTGCCTTTCCGATGGTTTGCCACTCCGTAAATTACTCTTAAATACATGTATATCGCAATACGGAAATCTGTTAAGATGTTCGTCTGTCATTTCTAAAACCAGCTTGTGCTTGCCTTCACCTGTCCTTTACTCTATAACTTATTCTGTCGATGTTGGTTCTGCAGATAACTGGAGGATTCAGAGAAAAATGCTATTCCGCGGTAATTGTCGTAGATGATCAAGTCGTCTTTTTATGGATCTTTTCTTTAATTGATCTTTCCTTTAGGTGATCTTTTCTTTAAGTGATCGTTTCAAATTATGTGGTATTTGATGTTTCTCCGCTGTTTCAAATTCTTCGAAGCTAGGATATTTTCGTCTCTATACTTTCTTTCATCATCTCAGCGCTGATGTTATTCATTCCTGAACTTTCATGTCTTTTGAGGTTTAGGATGTTTTTTCTTATTTCTTAATAAATTAACCTGTGTGTCTTTTCTAATCTCTGGTAATTTCGGAGGGTGTCTATCTCGTCAAGTGCGCTGTTACTCAGCAGAGCATAATCTGATAGTAATTGAGAGATTCAATGTATAGATAGCGTAAATCGGAACTTCTTTATACTGTATACATACATGTATTTACGGGCTGTGAAGAGGAGGCTATCATTTGTTGGAAATAGATTGAAATGTTTGTATTCATTAAACAAAATTTATTATTTGTCTGTGAAATTGAATTATAGAAAAAAAAATTGTAATGCTTCTTTTTGGTGGAGACCATAATAGGATGCACTCTATTGTATAATTTGCTTGGAGGATTGTACGTTCATTAGTGTATACATGTACCTGTACACACAGTGCTCGGCCACTTAGGACAACACCCACGTGACAAGTCACGTGGAAGGCGTACCTGCTTGTTTTTAGGATAAATTTATCATATTAATATCATAACTTCAAAGATAACATTCGCATAAATCATCAACGTATATACATAGTTTTTACTTTAAATAGTTATAGGTAAACTTGCATGTATTTTGTACTAAACTTTCATAATTTACATGTCCTCGGGATAATGTTCACATTATAAAAAAAAGAAAGAAAAAAGAGAAAAGACAAGCCTTAAATAACAGAGAGATGCTCAGTACTTTATTGAATTTGTCAATAGTTCAATCGGCATTTTATTCTTGCTTAGAAATATGTCTCTTTCAAAATACAGCGGTATCACAGTTTCCTTTATATGTTGAAATGAATTCCAGTTTTCCCTTGTCATTGATAGCTATCACTTGTCATTACGTGAATAATACATTAAAGTTAACGCGATTTCTCTTGACATAGCCACGGCTGGCCTCATCTCCTTCCAAAGCGGTAAAAAGGGTGTTACTCGGATGCGTCCGTTGAGGTCGCCGCTAGGGCGAGGGGGATCAAAAACACGCACGAAATGACGACCGTACCAAACACGAATAGGCCGAAGAAAAACCCGTCCAGTGTTCCCCCGACCACCCTCCAAGATATACCCTTTATATCAGCGTTGTTTGGCTTCGGTTTCTTCACCTCTGTCTTTCTGTTACCTTCCCCGTCCGAATCCTCCTCTTCTTCATCCTCCTCTGATGAAGAATCTTCCTCCTCCTCTTCCTGTCCTGGTTTGGGTTCCTCGATGGCCTCCAATTTTTGTCCACACCACTTTTTGCACTTTCTGCACGTGATGAAAGCCACTACGTGTTTGAGCCACATCGGCACTGGACTATCGTCATCCTGGTGATAGACACGGAGTGTCATAATTGTGATCACGGTTGATAAAGCACTCATGATCAACATCAACGTCAGAAAGAAGCATAGCAGGGACATTGGCTCGGACGATTTCGGCAGGTTATCTGACACCATGGTTAAAAATACGGCAAATGTTAGAAAAGCGGTAATAGCGTATCCAACGCGTTCACCGGAGTCAGCCGGAAGTAGAAATACCAGACCATTGAGCATGCCAAGAATTAGAATGGGGATAATCATGTTAACGAGAAAATAGCCTGGTTTCCTTTTCAATTCGATGGTGAAGTCGAGGTAAGAGGCAGAGGCGGAGGAGAAGGCCTCCACGCTAGTACTGGCAAGTGTCCACTCCACGTTCGGCATGAACAGGCCAGTGTGCATTCCCGAGGAGGTAGTGTTTAGTCGCACCTGTAACAGTAAACAAGCAAATTTGCATTGTAGTGTCCTGAGCTGATTTTATTAAGTCGCAAGCTTAAAATAAATGATCGATATAGTTCTTCAAGCTGGTAGTGTTTTGTCGTACCTGTATCAGTAAACTAAA